CTGAATATTTTAAAATTATTTTATACCCTACACTACTATGTTGTCAGAGTATTATAGCTTTGTGCAGCCCCAGGAGTTTGTAACGCCGCGAAATGATGGGTCTACCTTTAAGTATATCGGTCATATCTCGACTAGCTGAGCCGATGTAGACATGTGTGTCCGTCCGTCCGTTATAATTGCCATTATAATTTGTAAACACGATACAGGCCACAGTTATGGACCAATCTTCACGAAATTTTACATGTAGGATGGGTTCGGCCCAATGAAGACCCCTATTGTTTTTGGAAAATATCGGTTAATATTTAGGGGGTGAACTTGACCAAATGCTTAATTTTTGTCAGTTTTTTCTGGTCACTCCAGAGGCCGCAATTATGGTCCAAACATCACGAAATTTTACATTGAAAAGGGGATCGGGCCAAGGAATAAGCATGCCTCTGTTGATAAAGATCGGGTCAAATGGACCCTGACTTTTGTGCGAAAAATTACAAAATTTGTATTCTATGGCGTATATATTTACCCCAGAAGGATATAGATCCGAGAAGTTTATAGTATATCCGAGAAGAATGTTTGACGTTTTAATTGGTACCAATAATATTGTCATATGTATTCGGATATGGGAGTTGCACTTAAATATTTGTAGGTGCTTACGTATTCAGACATTACTTAGTAACCGTTACCACACTAGAGGGCGGAAATATAGCGATGATCGCTTTGAAATATTCCTTGATGTTCCAGTTATGGTCAAGAATAACGCCTATAATTTTCGGCGATGATCTGATAAGAATTTTGGGATGAAGTTGCTCGAAAACTTAATTATGTGCATTTTTCGAGTCGAAAGCCGAACATCACAACACAACCCACGGTGAAGGGAATCTGGACAAGTAATTAGAGGGGCTGTACAGACTATAAGTAACATTTGCTGAACTTTAGTCAGTCAAAAGTGTGCAAATAAGGCGAAATATTGCCCAATCTCAGAATATAGAACCACAAAAAATTAGATTTTCATAGAAGATGTTTAAGGTATCATATGGTCGGCCCCGTCCGACTATACTGCTCCGCTCACTGGTTTATAATATGTTTTACAGAAATTATTGTAGTCATGGATTACATAAATATATTTTTTTCTATGACTATTATAGGCCTGGAATTTTTAAAAATATATTTTCTATGACTGTTATGGGCGTGTATTTTTATACCCTTCACCACACTGTGGTATAGGGTAATATGTCTTTACGCATATGCTTGTAACAGGCAAAAGGAAACGAGATAGACCCATGGTTCCTTTTGAGAATATAGAATCACTTTCTGAGTCTGGTCGCATTTATGACCTGAATTGGATGAAATTTGGCCCAAGGACCAACCCTATTGAAATTGAAGAAAATCGGACGAAAAATATTTTCGTCCGATTTGAGGTAAATGTGGCGCCAAAGTCCCTATATATCTTTCGATTTCCATGCAATTTGGCACAGAGTTTTGAATTAGGCCCAGAATGATATGTGCTAAGTTTCGTGAAAATCGGTTGAGATTTAGATATAGCTCACATATATAGTATTGTCCGATTTTATGTAAATGATGCGCCAAAGCCCCTATATATCTTTCTATTTGCCCGAAATATTGCATAGTATACTGAATAGTGTGTAGAATGATGTGTGTCAAGTTTCGAGAAAATCTGTTCAGATTTTGATATAGCTCACATATATATTTTCGTCCAATTTAAGATAAATGGCGCACCAAAGTTCCTATATATCATTCGATTTGCACGAAAATTGGCACGGTGTGTTCAATTGAGTCCAGAATGATGTGTGTCAAGTTTCGAGAAAATCGGTTCAGATTTAGATATAGCTCCCATATATAGTTTTATCCGATTTTAAGTAAATGGTGCACTAAAGTTCCTGTATATCTTTCTATTTGCACGAAATTTGGCACAATGTACTGAATAAGATTCAGAATTACGTGTGCCAAGTTTCGAGAAAATCGATCAGATCAGATTTATATATAGCTCCCATATATATTTTTGTCGGATTTAAGGTAAATGGGACACCAAAGTCCCTTTATACATTTCAATGTGCATGAAAATAGGCATAGAGTACTAAAGTAGGTGCAGAATGTTGTGTGTTAAGTTTTCAGAAAATCGGTTCAGATTTAGATATAGCTCCCATATATAGTTTTATCCGATTTTATGTAAAAGGTGCACAAAGTCCCTATGTATCGTTCGATATGCGTGAAATTTTGCATCGTTTACTCAATTGAGTCTAGAATGACGTGTGGCAAATTTCGAGAAAATCGGGTCAGATTTACATATAGCACCAATATATATATTTCGTCCGATTTAAGGTAAATGGGGTTCCAAAGTCCCTATATATCGATTTGCAAGGAATTTGGCATAGGGTACTGAATTTGGTCCAGAATGATGTGTGATATGTTTCGTGAAAATTGGTTCAGATTTAGATTTAGCCCCCAAAATCTATTTTCGTCCGATTTAATGTAAATTATGCACTATAGATTCAAAGTTTACCCGACCGGCACACAATTTTGTACAGTGTACTGAAGATACTACAATTCTAACAACCACTTTACAATTGTATTTACAGAAATTTTGTGTTTTTTTCTGTTTTTGTATTTACACTTGATGTTTTTTGTTGTTCTGCATATTCATGGGGATTTTCGTACCTTTGAAATGCAAATCTGTCCCTACCATAGCTCGTGTGTTAAGTTTCGAGAAAATCGGGTTAGATTTAGATTTAAGTTCGTTCAATTTCATGTCAATGTTCCTTCTAAAAGGCGACGTCTGTTAGGATACATATGTGGAATATACCCAAAGTGGTGAAGGGTATCATTTAGTCGGTCCAGTCCGACTTTACTACTTTCCTTACTGGTTATACCCTACACAACTATGTTGCCAGGGAATTATAGCTTTGTGCAGCCCCAAGAGTTTGTAACGCTGCGAAATACTGGTCCTAGACCCACCTTTAAGTATGCCGATCGTCATATCTCGACTAGCTGAGTCGATTTAGACATGTGTGTCCGTCCGTCCGTCCGTCTGTCCATTATAATTTGTAAACACGATACAGGCCAAAGTTATGGACCAATCTTCACGAAATTTTGCATGTAGGATGGGTTCTGGCCAATAAACCCCTATTGTTTTTGGTAAAGATCGGTTAATATTTAGGGGATGAAATGTACGAAAAACTTTATTTTTGTTCGATTTTCTGATCGCTCCAGAGGCCGCAACTATGGCCCAAACAACGCAAAATTTTACATGGAGGATGGGATCGGGCCGGAGAATAAGCATGCCTGTTTTGATAAAGATCTGTCAATATTTAGCGGGTCAAAAGGGCCCTCACTTTTGTGTGAAAAATGGCAAAATTTGTATCCTATAGCGTATATATTTAGTCCTGAAGGACACAGGCCCGGGAAGTTTATAGTATACCCAAGAGGAGTAGTTGACCTTTAAATTGATACGAATTATGTTGTCGTATGTACTCGGATGTGGGAGTTACACTTACATATTTACAGGTGTTTACGTATTCAGAAATTATTTAGTAGGTCATTACCACACTAGAGGGCGGAAATATAGCCCTGATTGCTTTGAAATTTTCCATGAGGTCCCAGTTATGGTCGCCTATCATTTTTGGTGATGATCAGATAGTAATTTTGGGATGAAATGGACCAAAAACTTAAATTTGTGTGTTTTTGATCTATAGGCCATAATTATAAGCCGAGCATCACAATACAGCCCACGGCGAAGGGAATCTGAAAAGTATTTAGAAGCGCTATACTGAATATTAGTAATATTCGGAAAATATGTTGGTGTAAGGAAGATGAGCTGTTGAAGGGTGCAAATATCACGAAATATTGCCCAGGGTCGGAAAAAAACATCCGCAGAAAGTAAGAGTTCTGTGGGAGTTGTGTAGGGTATCGTATGGTCGGCCCCGTCCGACTATACTGCTCCGCTCACTGGTTTCAAAATATATTTTTCAAATATTGTTCTAGGCGTGTATTCTTTTAAAATATATTTTATACATTTTAATACATTTTGCAATGATTATTCTAGGCCTATTTTGTCAATGTATTTTTAAGGATATTTCAACAAACTAAGGGAACTAATGAGAATCAGTGACGAGATCAGAAACTATAGTCTTCCCTGCCTTACCCTTTGGCGGACAACGTCATACTTTCCCCACTAATAAATAGTTGTTTTTATAAAACAACAAACTGGGATTCAGCCTGAGTGAGTTTTACAATTACAAAATACAAATGGTATTGAAATTATTTTCAACTCATTTTATATGCTTTAAAATAACTACAAAATTTTTGTTCTTTAGTTTTCATGCCCATATCACTTAGTGGCCATTAAATATTCATACCAAAAAAATTGAAATACCTAATACTGCCAAAAGTACAAGGTGTTACACCAGGAAATATATATTTTTTTATTGCAACAACAAATTCCATTCCCACCGCAAATGAAAAAAATATATTTAAACGATATCACACTTTATTATGTGGCGGCAAATTACAAATACATATGCCCAAATTGATTTAGATTGCACTGTGTGAACTTTAACAAGCACTTTTGGAAATTTTTGTCAAGGAGCCAAGAAAAAGTGGCCCCCTAAAGTGGTCGAAATGTTCGTTGTGTTTGTGTGTGCGATGGTTTAAAAATTTGTGATTGCAATTTTTGATGACTTTGCTTACAAGTGGTTGAACAAACATGGGTTTTTTGCAAGCACTGGGTTTGGGTGGGGACTGGTTTTTTTGGCAACATGAAAAAGAGCAAAAGTGGCAGGACGACAGGCAGACTTGGCTCGTAACCTGAAGAAGGCTTTACAATTTAACAAGGATATTTTTTTTTTCTTCTTTCAATTTTTATGACAACATAAAAACAATTCTCCATAGGCTAAGTGTTTAAATTGCATTGCATTTTTTATATATACAAAAAAACTATTAAAATAATAATTTATATAATTTTTTTCCTTCTATGTTTTTTCTCCCTTTAGGTCTTTACCCAAATTAAGCAGTCAAGACGAAGAAGGGGGGGCTGGTCATGGCTATGGTGGCGGGCCACAACACTTTGAACCCATTCCTCATGATCATGATTTTTGTGAAAGAGTTGTTATAAATGTAAGTATAATTGTGTGTTGTTGTTATTTTTTGTTGGTTTTAAATGTTTAAATTATAATTTTTGTAATTGTGGTTATGGATTTTCTGATGATTATCCTGTAGTAGTCCAGTCTTTAAAAAAATTAATTAAATATACGATTGTAAACCCTCAACCTTGTGACTAATGGTGTAACTTTTATACGACAAAAATATGCCTCATCTATAGACCCCATGTAACTTTGTTCCAAATCAGTTTCCGATATATCTGTCTGGCGGTTGCGCACGATAATTCTCGAAAAGAGTAACCAATTTTATACAAACGTTTAAATATAGATCAAGTTCGAAGATAGGATATATCGGTACTATCCTTCTAATTCTAAAATTTGTAAATCAAACATCAAACAAATGTAGTGTTCGATTGGATACACATTTTGTACATCGTAGTATGTTTATCAAACCTAGATCAAGTCTGAAGATGGCACCCACTCTACTCTTAAGTATGAGTAGTTCTTTGTTACAAAAATACCTTCTTTAGATCTTCAATATATAGAAAACCGTCTAGATGTGTTCTCAGCGCAGATGACCTACTTGACGTTGTCTATAGACAGAAATCAGCTTTTCCTTAGTTCAGATGTCTTTTTTATAGAAAATCTTCTTCGTTCTTTCTAGAAAAAGGAGAAGCACTTACAGAAAATCTGCAGGGCATCTATAGACCCGTACATCGAAAATCTGTAGACCCCATATAATGGTACCTCTATGTTTTGTTATTTTGAGGATTTCAGCTATTTTTATACCCTACACAAGTATGTTGTAAGGGTATTATAGTTTTGTGCAGCCCCAAGAGTTTGTAACGCCGCGAAATATTGATCCTAAACGCACCTTTAAGTATACCGATCGTCATACCTCGACTAGCTGAGTCGATCTAGGCATGTGTCTGTAAGTCCGTCTGTCCACTATAATTTGTAAACACGATACAGGCCACAGTTATGGACCAATCTTCACGAAATTTTGCATGTAGGATGGGTTCTGCCCAATGAAGACCCCTATTGTTTTTGGTAAAGATCTGTTACTACTTAGGGGATGAAATGGACCAAAAACATTATTTTTGTCTGACTTTCTGGTCGCTCCAGAGGACTCAATTATGGCCCAAACATCGCGAATTTTTACATGGATAAGGGGATCGGGCCAACAAATAAGCATGCCTATTTTGATAAAGATTGGCCAATATTTAGCGGGTCAAATGGACCCTGACTTTTATGTGAAAAATCACAACATTTGTATTCTATAGCGTATATATTTACCCATGAAGGACATAGATCCGAGGAGTTGACTATATACCTTTCAATTGATACCAATTTTATTGCCGTATGTACTCGGGTGTGGAAGTTACATCTAAGTATTTACAGGTGCTTACGTATTCAGATATTATTTAGTAACCCATTACCACACTAGAGGGCGGTAATATATTTTGAAATTTTTCATGAGGATCCCCAGGTATGGTCAAGGACAATGCTTATAATTTTCGGTGATGATCTGATTATAATTTTGCAAGAGGGTGTAAATATCGGGAAATATTTCCCAAGCTCAGAATATAGAAGAACAGAAAGTTCGATTTACGTGGAAGTTGTGTAGGGTATGATATGGTCGGCCCCGTCCGACTATATTGCTCCGCTCACTGGTTACAACTGAGTTGTTCCAAGTTTTCTTCAGTCTAAAAATTTTAAATTTTGGTCCATTATTTAGTATTGTGTACATATAAAGGAGCATTTATTTCAGTTGATGATCCTAGACACTTTTCCAAGCGATGTACCTATATGTTAGTATTTCGTAAACAACTTCATCTAAAGACAAATAAGAATAATCAGATCTTTTAGATACAGAAAAGGTTCCGTGGTTCAAAAGGTTCAGGTACTTCATGGACTGGAAATCTTTCCTAGGTATTCTATTATCAGGTATAGTGAGGACATGTGAGCATCTTAAATTCTTCAGAACATCTAGAGAGCAAAGAGCTATACACGTAGGATCCATACCCAGTAAACCTGTCGGAAGTCTTCTATAGAAAAAATATCTTCCTCAGGTCTTCCAGAGACGTTCTCCACAAGACTTTCATCGGATTATATAAACCTTTTACAGGTTTTCTGTATGCAGAAGATTTTTTCAAATATTTTATGGGCAGGAGTTGTTTCCTAGGTCTTTTGCTGCTATTTATTTGTTCCCAATAATGCGGTAAACACTAACAAAAGAAAAACTCCCACATCTGACTAGATAGAACAATAAAATTAGTTCGATCTTGTCAGATGACTATGTCATTCAGAAGTAAATATATACGCAATAGAATAACAATCTTGTTATTTTTCACACAAAAGTCCGGTCCCATTTGACCCGCTAAGTATTGACCGATTTTCACCAAAAAAGTTATAAATATTCTATGGTCAGATTTTTTCCTCTGTGTAAAATTTCGCGATATTCTGGTGAAAATTGTGGCCTCTAGAGCGACCAAACAAAAACACAGACAAAAATTAAGTTTTAAGTCCATTTCATACAATAACAAACAGTAGGGATCTTCTTTGGCCAGAACAAAGAAATTTTCGACTCGGAGATTGGACCATAACTGCGACCTATATCGTGGTTTGAAATTATGAGGGACAGACGGACTAAAAGGTGGATGGCGATACAAACTCTTGGGGCTACGCAAAGCTAGAAAAATAATTTGTGTTATTCTCATGTGTTGATATCGAATTTTTTATTAGAAGGTCAGGGAACTTCGGATGCACTGCACCTCATATATAATTTTTATTATTTTTAGGATTTGTATTATCGTTGAGTAGCAAATCTTCCTAAAATTTATATCCACCGACTTTGAACATAGTAGCCCCAATATAAAAGTCCAGCTATACTCTATAATTACAAATTTTCTAGGCTGGCAGCCAATTACAATAGCATAACTAAACGACGTTTTTCTGATAGGTTCACATTTGAGAAAATTTTAAAACTTTTAATATTCCAATACAGTATACGGTCCCAATAAAGGCACCATTAGATTCTATTTGTATGAACTGCACTCGTCGAGACCCATTATATTCTTAATATGCCATGAACATTGTGGTTCTGACTATTGAAGGTTTTATAAAAAAAATCTTCATGTTGGAGAGAACAGCTTCTTCATGTCTGCTTTTGACAGATATAGAAATAATATTTTCAAAGTCTTCCATTGACAGAAGAACAGCCTCAGACATTCCCGGGACCAAATGCCTCCCTTAAGTTTTTGGTACACATAAATCGTTCTTAAGTTTCTCTATAAAGATAAATCCTTCTTCTTACCTTCTTGCGACAGACAACATACCTTAGATGTTTCACAGAGGGTACCCGCCTTTAGTATCTCTACCCCTTCGACAGTCAAACGTCCAAGTTATTTGTTTGTTATATTCATAATGTTCATATTCCTCAATTTATTTCATTTCAGGTAAGCGGGTTAAGGTTTGAAACACAATTACGAACGTTAAATCAGTTCCCCGATACGTTACTGGGGGATCCAGCTCGGAGATTACGGTACTTTGACCCGCTGAGAAACGAATATTTTTTTGACCGTAGTCGACCGAGCTTCGATGCCATTTTATACTATTATCAAAGTGGTAAGTTCGATCAGTTGCCAAGAATTTTCAACTTTATCTCTTACAAGAACAATAACAAAACAACACTTTACAGCCAGGACAGGCTGGACACACTTAACATTTTTATATATAAAAAACTATTTCTATATATAATAAATTTTCTATATATAATAATATTGAAACTAACTAATCATGTAATATTTTTTCTCCTCTTCTTTTATATTATAAATAATAATCAAAACCAAAAAAACAACAACAATATCTACTACTACATCTACAACGATAACAACAACAATAATAATATATTTATATTAAAATATTTGTATTTATTATTTAAACATTTTTTTATTTATATATTTTAATTTGAATTTGTTTTTTTTTATTTTCAATTTCTTTTTTTGTTTTTGTTTCTTATTTACGTGTTGAAAATCCCTGTTACTACCCTCTCCCACCCTCCGAAAAAACGTAATTTATGTTATCCTGTTGTGCATCATCCTCCTTTGATTTCCTGCCTGCCTGTCTGACTGCTGCCTGCAAAACAAAAAATATTACCAAAAAACCAAAAATCTGTATATGAATATGAACAATGAAATTTCTAGGTGGCCGACTACGGAGACCGGTCAATGTCCCTTTAGACGTATTTAGTGAAGAAATAAAATTTTATGAATTAGGTGATCAAGCAATTAATAAATTCAGGTAAGATTTAATTTACCACCTAACTGCGTTAAATGTACGTTAATCGTTGAGTTTTATACATAAATACAGACTTTGCAAAAAAAAAAAAAAAAATAAATTGATTTTTCAAAATTTTATACAAAATTAAAAATTTTATATTCTTTGTGCCACAACAAAATGTGCCTTATTTTTTTTCAATTTCCAAAATTATATCCTTTATTGGCCGTAAAGAAACAAACAATATTTTCTAATTTTATTTTGTTTTTTGTATTGGAATGATTAATTAATTGATTGTTATAATTAATATTGAAAAATATATATTTTATTTGTTATACAAAAAAACCGTATTTGTATGAAATATCCACACAATTGCAATATTACTTTAATTTTTTCGTTTAAAATTATTTCCTTTATTTTGTGGTTATTTAGATAAGAATAAAATTTATTGCAAATTTGCTTTCCATGTTAGTAATTTGACTTTGAAAATAATTTATCATTTTGGAAAACTGTCGTAGTTTGTTTTATGGTTTTTTGTGCAATTTGTTGTTAATTCGTTCGATCGCAAAAAAAAAACATTATAAAACAAATATTCTATACTAATATACGAGAACAGTGCGTTAAGTGTGTGTTGATAGGGAGCTGATGGGATATATCAGAAATATCTATATTATTAAAAGAGTAAAATGATTGACTGACTTAATGATTCATCAACGACCAGATGGAACGGCTATAGATAGAATCTTGAAATTTGGGATGAGAGTCACTCTTAGTTATGAGTCGTTTATTTTGAAAGTGGTTTAAGTCCATGATACAAATCTTGGTTTCCCATTTTCTATGATGTTTAAAGGCACAAAGCCACAAACAAAATTTATACCACTTAACAATATTTTTGAAACAAATCAAATTCAAAACTTTAAATATCTGTATTAAGAACCAGTAGAGAAAGTATTAAAGTCGGACTGGGCTGATTATATGATACCCTTCACCACTTTGGGTATATCCCACAAATGGAATCCTAACAGACGTCGCATTTTTGTCATTCTGAAACCTATACTAAATTTTGGTCAGATATAGAGTTGCATCTTACAATGGGACAAAATTATGTAAATAAATTTAAAGCAAAATATCGAAATCTAAACCGATTTCATCGAAACTTGTCATATGTTAGGTTACACTTATATCAGTATGTTTTTTGCATTCGGCCACATTTTGAGTTATTCATTAACTTATAAATCCAAATTTCGTGCAAATCGAAGGATATACACGGACTTTGGTGCACTATTTACCTAAAATCGGACGAAAATATGTATGGGAGCTATATCTAAATCTAAACCGATTTTCACGAAATTTTACACACATTGTTCTAGGGTTAATTCAGAATGCTAAGCCAAATTTCGTGCAAATTGAAGGATATATAGGGCCCTTGGTGCACTATTTACCTAAAATTTAGCTATATCTAAATCTAAACCGATTTTCACGAAATTTTACACACATCGTTCTGGACTTAATTCAGTACGCTATGCTAAATTTCGTACAAATTGAAGGATATATATGGACTTTGGTGCACGATTTACCTAAAATCGGACGAAAATATATATGGGAGCTATATCTAAATCTGAACCGATTTTTCCCAATTTCAATAGAGTTCGTCCTTGGAACAAATAAGTGAACTGTACCAAATTTCATCCAAATCCGATCACAAATGCGACCTGTACTTTGTTATCAAAAATACATGGACGGACGGACATGCATAAATCGACTTAAAAAGTGATTCTATGCATATTCTCAAAAGGAACCCTGTGTCTATCTCGTTTCCTTTTGCCTGTTACAAACATATGCACAAAGACATAATACCCTGTACCACAGTGTGGTGAAATTTGGATTGAGGGTCATTGATGGGTAGATGTACAAAAGGTTTTTTTTTGAAATTCGAACTATAAGTATCCGAAAAGTTCTAAAATGTACTAAATTTTTTTATAGAGGATAGAACTAATAAAATTCAAATTTGGAATGCGAAACAAGTTTGAGAAGTAGGATTTATATAAGGAAATAGTTTAGGAAACGCGTACACCTGTATGCGAAACATACGAAACAATACTAAATTTTATACAATTTTAAGTTGGAGGAATGTAATGAATATTCAATACAGTATGCAATACAGTATGCATTTGAGTGAACTGATAGAACTGAAACATTGAAATTTGGAAATAAGATTACTACGGCATTATAGAATTGTGGTATTTAGGTAGTTTAGGAAATGGTACTAAATTTGGTACAATTTTAATTTAGTGTGAACAGATAGAGCTGAAATCCTGAAATTTGGAGTTAGGACCGCTGTTGGTGTGTAAGATTGGGGTATGTAGGAAATTTTCGAAATTCGTGCTAATGTGTACTAAATGCTGCTAAAGTTGAAATTTGAAATTAAATTGAGAAATAAGATTCCTATTGGTTTGATAAGGTAGTTTTGGAAATTCGTACTAATGTGCACTGAATAACTTGGTACAATTTGAATTTTATGTGTACCTATATAGCTGAAATACTGAAATTTGGAGTTGGGATCACTGTTGGTATGTAGGATTGGGGTATGTGGGAAGTTTTGAAAGTCCTTTACTAAATGGTAATAAATTTGGTAACATTTTGATTTGGGATGGTGTCCTAAAACTGGGAAATGAGAATTTTATTTGATTGTATGATATAGGCGGTAATGGAAATTTGTATTTATGTATACACAATTTGATAAAATTTGGATGTAGGTGATCCGTAGGCGGTGGTGTGTGAAATCCTAAAGTTTGGAATTAAGATGGAGTGTTGGTACAATTTTGATTAGATTTCTGACATTTGAAGTTTTCCGTGAAAACAACATGTTAAAATATTAGGTTGGCGAAACTTTATTTAACATGCACTGTAACATCCAAATATTCACCGTTTTGTTGTATGATTTGTTGCCATTTTAAATGGAACATCATAGAATTCCTGCTCTCTATTTGCAAAAACCTGTAGTAGTCGATTTTTACAATCCTCCCTAGATACCAATTTTTTATCATTAAAGAAATTTTGCAATGCAAGAAAAATATGATGTTCGCTTAGTGCCAAGTCGGATGCATTAAAACTTCCCAACCAAGATCCACAAATTTCGGGCGAGTCACTGTAGATGTGTGTGGCCTAACATTGTCCCGGTGGAACACGACACCTCTCCTGTTGGCCAATTTTGGTCAATTGCTATCGTCAAACGGTCCAGTTGTTGACAGTAGAGATCAGGATTTAGCGTTTGGACATATGGAAGCAATTCATAATAAATAATCCCCTTCCAGTCCCACCAAATGCATAGCAAAACCTTCCTAGCCGTTGGTCCTGGTTTATCCACTGTATGAGGTGGTTCACCGCTCTTTGAACACGATCGTTTCCACTCAAAGTTATCGTATGTGATCCATTTCTAATCTCATGTCACCATCCGTTTAAGAAATGGGTCTATCTCATTCCGTTTGGTCAAGGCTTCGCAGATCGAAAATCGATCCATCATATTTGTTTCTGTTAATTGGTGTGGCACTCAAACATCGAGCTTCTTTTTGAATCCAGCTTTCAGTAAATGCTCATGGGCGATGTTACGACTGCTAACATGTCGGTCAACTTAAATCATTTCTCTGTGTCCCGAAATTTGGGTCAATACTGGTTAATTTTGTATAAGGCATTTTTTTTTACAAAATTTACTATTAAATAAAATTGCAGCTGAAAGATGTGTTCAAAATTCGGAATAATTGGGGTATCTTTATATAGGGTCTACCTCGAAACACAAGTCAATATAGGTTTTATTTTTTTAAATCTTATTTTATTTTCTTCCCAGTGGGAAGTCAAAATATTCCTTATTATTATGATTACAAATTTACTTCACTGCAAGGAAGGACACCGACTTCGCCGGATTTTATGCCGATGGATGATTTCAATACCCTACACAACTACGTTGTGAGGGTATTATGGCTTTGTGCAGCCCCAAGAGCTTGTAACGCCGCGAAATATTGGTTGTAGACGCACATTTAAGTATACCGACAGTCATATCTCGACTAGCTGATTCGATCTAGACATGTGTGTCTGTTCGTCCCTCCGTCTGTCCATTATAATTTGAAAACACGCTACAGACCACAATTATGGAATAATCTTCACGAAATTTTGCATGTAGGATGGGTTCTACCCACGGAAGACCCCCATTGTTTTTGGTAAAAATCAGTTCATATTCAGGAGATGAAATAGACCAAAAACTTTAATTTTGTTTGATTTCCTGGTAGCTCCAGGGGCCACAATTATGGCCCAAACATCGCTATTATGTACATGGAGAAGAAGATCGGGACAAAGAATAAGCATGCCTGTCAATATTTAGAAGGTCAAATGGACCCTGACTTTTGTATGAAAAGTGGCAAAATTTGTATTCTATAGCGTATATATATATATAAATATACTCCTGCAGGACATAGACCCGAGAAGTTGATATTATATCCAAGAGGAGTGGTTGACCTTTATATTGATACCAATTATATTGTCGTATGTACTCGGATGTGGGAGTTACACTTAAATATTTACAGGCGCTTAGACTTTTTGACTTTATACTTTTGTCAAAAAAAAAAAAACCAACACCAATTTCAATAATTCCGGGATATTATATTCGAGATAAGTTGCAGGTTTTATGTGCTCGAACATGGGATTATATTGTTTATTATCGGTAGAGTCGGAAATGTGGCAAGTGCCCCACATGTTCGGGATAAAGCTCTACTGAATATTTAAGCTCAATGACAGATGATCAGTATAGTACGATATAGTGCATTTGCCGATCTTCTAATTTATCGATTTAGTTGTAAAATATGCCTTTTACTTCAAAATAGGCCTCAGAATGGGTGACACTTTTTCTGGCAAAAATTCATCCGATCTAAAATTGTTTGAGTACAAGGAACAATTTCAGGGGACAGATTTTTGGGTGCGCTAGTTATTCGAAACTGATGATTTTGTAATGGAATTTTACGTTAAATTCAGTC